AAAACTCCACAGAACAGGGCTTTTAGAAGTAATTGGCTTTAAACCTCAAAGTCAACATTCCTGACATAAGCAGGAAGACAGCTGTTAACTGTATTAATATTAATTTGTAGTGATGGAAAGACTTTTTTTTACAGAGCATGTGTCTACTTTAAGAAAGCAAGCTCAAGCCTCTCTGTTCAAACACCCACCTGACTGTCTGGGTAGAGTATAAAGAAAGTAGTTTTTAGCTACCTTTGCATTTAAAGTAACTAGCCTATAGAAATGGAGTATACTAAGTCTGTCACCATCTTTTCCTGTTTCTTTGAGATCTAAAAAGATTGTCTAAAATTACACTGGCTTTTGTGACAGGACTGTCACTTGCTGATCAATACCATAAAATGCAGGCAACTAAATACATCTAGGGATTTTTTACTCCACCTATTTAACCTAAGTTTCAACTTTCCTGAATTTACACACAAGTTCTTTCAATTTCTAGTTTTCTACACATGCTTCAGACTGTTAAACTTATAAATGCTATCATCTGATAATACCTGTAACTTCCTACTTTATTGTCTAAACATTTTATAAACATGTCTTTAGGTTTTTCTCTAAATCTGAGATCGAGTCCTAAAAGGTGACAGGTTACTAAAACTTTGTCCTCTAATTTTGTGTCTTTGATTATCCTCTACTGGATATCCTTAACTGGAATATGTCAAAATGTAATCACATAATAAACTACATAAGTACTATATAGAAATTATTAGAAAATATATCTGGGGTGCTTACAAAACAATTCAGGTTCATATCCTCAAGGTACTTCTAGTAAGTACAGAACATCTCCTAGTAAGGAAAGAATATTTAACTAGTAACAATTTCCAACAACTCATTATGGTGATTCTTGAAAATTATGTACTGCTGACCCTTTAACAACATGGGTTTGAACTGCACACGTCCTACTTATATGTGGATTTTATTTATAGTTGACATGTTATATTAGTTTCATGCGTATAGCATAGTAATTCAACATACCTTAATTTTTTATAGTACTATAAATGTATTTTCTCTTCTTTATGATTTTCTTAATAACATTTTCTTTTCTGTAGCTTAATTTGCAAGAATACCATATTTAATACATATAACGTACAAAATATGTATTAATCGATTGTTTATATTATTAGTAAGTTACACGTGGATTTTCAACTGCGTCCAGGGGAGGGAGAGAAAAGGGCCAGTGTCCTTAATCGCTGCATTATTTAAGGGTCAACTGTAGTTCAGATCTACAACTGTGCAGAACCACATAGATAAATCTCAAACATGGGGTGAAAGAAGACAGACGCAAAATAAGGAACTACAATTTTGTGTCTTAATCTGGGTGCTGGTTACAAAAGTATGTTCAGTTGAACTGTACATTTATGAATGGTGTACTTTTCTGATAAAAATTATACTTCAATAAGAAGATTTTCTTAAAGTCCTATCACTAAAGCATTCACAAAAACTAGATTAGCCAAGTTCTAAAACCTGAGGTTTACCATCTGGGTAAGTACTAGGGGGTGTTAATGAGGTACCCAAGCTTCTTGGAGGATGAGTAAAACAAAACAAATTATCTTATACAAGAAGCTTATTTCTGATTTACTCCTAACTTCAAAAATGAAATCTCATAGGAACAAAACAAAGCAATTTAAATGAAATTACGTATCTAGCATAAAGATCAAAAATTTAGACACTCTTTAACTTAACTCATGTGCGTTATTTTCCTTATTTATTTCTCTTTAAATACTGGTGCTATCATAAGGAAGGACAAGCCAACTCAAGGGGATAGTGCACCTGGCAACTGTTACTCTCATTTGTTAACTACATTTATGCATTTTCTTCATTAAGGCAGAAATACTGCAAGCGTTTATCAATGAAGTCCAAATCCTTACAAGCTACCTAATTTCTTCCTTTAGTCTACCTGAGCAAAAGTTTCTTCCTCCCTACTCTTTTATCTTACTGACCCGATATATACAAGAGGGTAAATTTGTTTGCTATAAATCCTTACCCTCAGCTTTTTTGCAAAGGACTCAACAACAGCCTGTTCCCCAGTGATCGTTAAAATAGGTTTCTAAACTAATTTGTTACCTACCATTGCACTGGTAACAAAGCAATGCCAATAATTAAGTCTGGAAAGCTGTTCTTTACAGAGAAATAGAAAGTCAAATTTTAAAGTTACTATTCTAAAATGCCAATAAGCTAGGATATCACTAAGTATAACTATAGTAAAATAATCTCCAGAAAGCTAATTATGGAAGCTTAATAAATAGTCAATGCAAACACTCTGGGCTTCCTAAGAAAGGGATGTATTATTTTTAAAGTATCAGTATCAATTGTTCTTAAATTTGGCAATGGTTTCAGCTGATTGATTCCCTGAGTACTCTGTAAATGACAGGAAGATAGAAAACAATGATGGCACCTACAGGTAGGTGCTTAAACTTTAGTATAATAACTGAATAAAGTGCTGGTTATCAGTAGAAAGACAATCTCTAAATACAGGTAGAGGCAGATGGGTGAAAATCTTCTCAATTTGCTAATTCTAATTTAAAGAGAGAAGGAAACAAAGGGGCCATTAGGGAACTCTGAGTCAATGTGAGGAAATGTATATTAATTACTTATGTTTTGATTAAAAGATACTCTGCTAAAAGAATATTGGGGGGGGGGGGGGGGGGGGAGGAGGGAAGATTCCAGTCTTTCACATAAGGTAAACCAAGGATCTTCAGCTATTCCGGGAAGGTTTAATGAAAATTGGCACTCCTCTACAGAATAGGAGTTCCAAGATTTCATAAATAAGAGCCTGAAATGTACTTATCAACACTGATAAGCAAATTTATACCTCAAACTTAGATACTGTAAAGGATTTATAGTCCCTTCAACTCCTGAATGGTTCTATTCAATAGAATCATCCCCTGCAAAATACTTTATTTGCCAAATTAGTGTAAGTGTAATTAAAAAAAAAATCCTTAATTTATAATGGTAAAAAAATGAATATGGCAATTTGGTCAGATTATGACCATGGTTAGGATAAGAGTATTTAATATATTTTAAAGCTTAACACACACAAATCTTCAACCCCTTGTCTGCAATGAAAAAAAACGAATAGTCCCACAATACTTTATTTGCTAATATACCTATTAAAAAGTCTGTAGCTATTTACCAACTGAACTCGTATAGTTAGAACTAATAAAGCTAGCCACTACTGCTCTCAACTGAAAATCTAGTAAGTTAGTTGAAAGGTTCAAAGGAAGCCACTAGTTCGTTTCTATGGAGTTGGACTTGTCACTTTAGTACCAAAGGGAAGAATGGCTGATCTATAATATAAGTTTGGTGTCAACACACTACAGACAAGTATCTATTAACATCTTTGGCTCTGGACAACAGGCTTCAGGGAGAAGAGAAAATACTTTCAAACCATGAGAAACTACAGATACAGCAACTTGCCTCATTTCTGATACTTAAATATTTCTGTATCTAAAAATGGAAAACAGATAAGGAGTATTTAGCTATAACAACAAATGATGAGCAGGCAACTTCTGTGGTTGTTTTATAATGGAACAAAAGAAAACTTTTGATATTAGGTCAAAATTATAAAAAATAAAGCTCAAACCTTTCTATATTGTTTTGATGAACAGCTCTTAATCATATTGATATCATGGTAGCTTACAAAATCTAGCTATTTGAAATAAATTACCATTCAACTAAAACTTCTCTTATTATACATTTCTAAATAGAGTGCCATTTTTCCTTTTTCTAATACAAAAGCATAAAGTACAACCCAAGGTACTCATCCTGGCTACATCTGATAAGCCATTTGAATGATTGAGCATCCATGCTTCTTTTATGGCACAATTTACACTTATGTCTTACTTTATATTGATATAGCTGTATAATTTCAAAATTGAAATTATAAACATTGTACTATAAATTTTAAAACTTCTTGTTCTATAAGTAACTATTTGAAAACATTTTCAGTTAAGGAACAGATCACCAAAAAGATACTTTGTTAGACAATTTCTTCAGAGTGACACACAGCAAATCACGTCTAAGAATTAAAAGACTGTTACCATTTGTAGGCAATGTAAACCATGTCTTAACATGACATGTACATGCACTTAGCAATACTCTTTTCTAATGAAAGAGATGAAGTTAAGTCCATGAGTGTTATCCAAACTATGCCAGAGGACACAAATGCGTTGCCAGGCAGAGTTAAAAGAATCTAGCAAAGCTTTGTGTGAATTTTTAAAACAGCATTTGTGCTCATTCTATTAATTAAACACAGAATGGAGTGCTAATAAATATTCAGCCAAATAACTGAACAGAGCATATACTAAAACTATGTAATAAGCAGAAAGATAAACCAAATTATCTTTTGCCATAAATGAACTCTTAAGACTTCACTCTATATTTTAAAAAGTTAAAAATGAAATTTATATAACATTTCTATGAGAAAAGCTGTTTTAGGAGTTTATAAAACAGTAATGCAGGTCTAGGGAATTCGAGCAAACAAGCTTGATGTTAAAGTTTCGCAGCAAGAATTAAACAGTGACTATTACTTTAATACCTTGGTCTCGTCCCTTCTCCAATTTCTTAATAAGTAACATTTCGCTTTGAGTCACTAAGGCGTTTACAGAGAAATATAAAATAGGAAAAAGTAAAATAACCGTAGTTTATTTTACAGAATATATTTTTACATTGAAATATAAAGGGTAAGTGGATATTTCATATAGCAAAATTCAATAGAATATGTAAATCCTTCAAAAAAGTAAATATACTTAAAAAATAAGTAAAAACAAAAGTATGCTTATATTCTATTTAAAATATAGATTGTCCTTTTGGTTTATTTTGCTGCTTTGTCCCATGCTAGATACCACATGATTCCCCCCCTAAAATGACATATAAAGTTTAGTTTTAATGATGTGATACCAGTACAGTGCAAAGCAATTCATGCATACACTTTTGCATGTATGCATTCCATATGTAAGTATTCATACCTATCCCAGAGGTTCTTTGATTCCTGAAACGTGTTCAAATGGAACGCTTGGTAGAAAGCAGTTGAAGGATTCCTGCGAGATCCAAGAATCAAATGGAAATGAGGTTGAGAAAGTACAGTCAAATCACTATTTTTCAAAAAAGATGGAAGATCTTAGATTTCTAATATAGTATAAAGCTTTAAAAGAAAAAAAAAACACTACATAAGCTTGCTTAAAAACATTTTGAAAGAAATTAAAAAACTGGATGAAATCCAGCAGACCCTGACAATTCAGGATCACAGTTATAAAAGAAAGGAGTAATACAGATAAAATAGCACCCAATTATGTGTGTGTGTTATGTCTACACAAACATGAATCAGTTCACAGCCTAATCAACATTAGTCTGTATCAGATGCCTTTATAAATCTCTAAACACTTAGCAGTTCAGCAAAGCTATTCTCAGGTACAGTTTTCATATACAATAAATTAGGCTACACCTTCATAATATAAAAAATCTTAACAGGATCTATTTAATAGGGTTTGATTACGACCAACGAGTCCTTTTCTGGGTTGGACTTGACATGATTTCTTCTACCTTCAGAACCCATTTATTTGTGTTTTCTCTGGTTTAGGGCAAAAAACGGTGCAGCAATTGTATGGCAGCTTTCTAATTTCTGGCATTAGTACAGTGCCCCTTTGAGGGGTAAGAGCTTATACACCTTAATCACCATCCATTTCTACCATTCCCTGGAGACACATTCCCTAGGGCTATAACCACAGAATCTTACCTGATGGGCTCATCAAGGCAAGCTCCCAGCCTGCATGATTCATCTCACATCCCTGGATTTCTTAAGAGACTATTAAAATTTGACTACTAAACCTCCTCTCTAATAGTTCCCCCTATACCTAAGCATATTTCCATAGTTTTCCCAACTTCAATCTGTATGTTAGGGAGCTAACAAAAACTTGTCACATTATACTTCTAAAATCCTTGACCCCCGCTGTGGCAAGGGTCTTAACAGCAAGTTAAGAACATAAGTGCTTATTAAATACCAGACACTATTCTGGGTTTATCTGTTTATTTATGTATATTAACTGAATTCTACAACAGCCCCAAAAGTAGGTATTATTATTATTTCTACCTCACCAAAAGGAAAACACCTAACATCACAGAGCTAGTAGGTAGGAATCTGGTCCTACAGTTTATGCTCTTAAACTACTATGCTAAACATAGAGTTAAATTTTAACCTCTGTAGGTCTGGGTCTTTATTATTAGTACAATAAGAAAACTATTTCCAAATTCTACTGGAAGAGCGATGAATTACCGATGATCAACAAACAAATACTCAACAGAATTCCAGGATTTCAAAATTCTGATTAAGACTCATTGTATTATCTATTAAATTTTTTAAAAAAATATTTTTTAAAGGCTATTTTTTTATTTTAACCACTAGGATACCTCTTAGATGATCTAAAACTAGGAAAGGCAGACAGACACTAGATGCCAGAGTGTCACCAAAGCCAACCGTTTGATTAATTGGCATTTTCAGCATATCTACTTCTCTTTGCCTGCCCTACTTACTTTAACTGTTTCCTATTCTTTTAACCCTTTCTCTTTTTTTCTCTAGACCAGGCCTCAGATAATCAAACTGATTAGACCTAATATCAAGGATTCAGAGTCTGCTAACTACCATTTATTTAATAGCTTGTACCCTCTCAAGATAGATCTGTCAGGCCATTTTTTTTTTTTTTTTTTACTGTAACTGGAAATGGGTCTACCAAATTAAACGAAAGTGAACTGAACCAACTGAAAACTCAATTGGCTTTTACCAGGCTTACTCAGGACCATATGGGGACAAGTTTGCTATTCACATAGGTCTGTTTGGAGACCCTGGATTTAAAACAGAGTGACTCAAAGAGGAAAGCAGTAAATATGAGAGGATAACAAAGAGTAAACGTGGAGGCTATTCTGCAAGGCTGGAATTTAAAATTCATTAAAGAGTATTTACAATATATTTATAAGGATGACATTCTTTAAAAAAACTTCAGATCCCCTGACCTTGGAAACATACATACATATATATTTAACTTGAATCAAATTCATATGCCAAATAAATTGGTTTTAAATGAAGTCATATGACTTGAGTTATGAGATTCCAGCATTTTTACAGCATAGACTCTAATAATGAAATGTTTCTCATAAGTTAAATGTAGAAGTGAAAAAAGAATGTATCTGCAGTTAGTTGTGGATCTTGGGGCAAAAAAGGAACCAATGAAATAAAATACTATAAATGGGCCTAAAGTCTTCAGAACATGTCAGAACAAATACTCAGGTTGCAAAAGCTGGCAGTGAATCACTTTTTACATACATTCAAAATGAAGAAGCCATATGGAGTTATACAATCTATGTACTCTAGAAAAATTCAAATAGTCTAGATTGCAAGGATAAACATTTGGTTTCTGGAATACTTCAGCAGGGTGTTTTCCATAAACAGAGGAATTTTTTGCAAATAGCAACAATTAGTCTCAAAACATTGATTAACAGCCATAGATTAAAGGAGTCAAGTCTGTTAAACCTAGCTGATCAGAACTTCAAAAGAGCCATTTGTAAATACTGAAGGGCTTGATCATCAAAGACTTCTGTTTTGGAATGGCATAAAATTGAGGAAATTAAGAGCCCAAGGAAAATGCTGTTAATGGGGATCATTTCAAGGTTATAGTCTATGTAATCTGAAGGCACCACGAGGCAACTGACGTTATTAAAAATTTATTGGAAAGAAATACTGAATTTTACGCAATTTTGGTCATAAATTCTCTTCTGCCCAAGAAATAAAATTTGAAACCAGTTTTCTAATAACATATTTGATGTCAATGCTAACTATTAGTCTAAATATAAAGCCAACAAAGCACTTCTTAGGGAGACTGAGGTGTGGTTTATTCTGAATTTATTTCAGCCACCTAAATTAAAATGCTGTTTCCCCATTTGTAGACATTGTTCAAAACCAATGAACGAATATATCTTTTTCTCTGACTTTATACACTAAATAGCCTGTCCTGTTAATATCTAAGTACATGATAGTAGTACATCACAATGGGACTCAAACATGACATATACCTACCTGCTTTGCTAAGACACTATCTTTGTAGGGTAACTGTAACAGAGAGGAAAATATAGATATATACTACACCTCAAAATTAAGCTACCAAAATCGTTGAAGCTTCAAGTATGAGGTACATGAGCCCTAAACTTAGCAAATACCTTCTTCCCTTATGTCAAAACTCAACTTCAGAGATCTCTAAATAGAAACCAGGGAAATACAATAAGCAGAGGAACAAGGGCCACCTCCAACATTATTATCTAAGGATTTAATATAATTAAAACTATTCTTTAGGTAAAGGGTTACAACACAACGGATTAGTGGCTAGAGTAGCTTTTCCTTCCTCTATACTATAGTCAGCAAAGTAATAGAACAAAACTAACTCTGGAAAAATCCAAGAGCACTGGCTTTGGAGTCAGAAGGCCTAAGTCTGAATCCATGCTTTGTCACTTAATAACTATGTATTTAAATCCTATAAGTCTGTTTTCTTAATCCATAAAAAGGGGAGGAACACTTCCCCATAGTTGTTGAAAAGTTCAAATGATATTATGCATAAATAGGGCCACAGATATAATTAAGCTTGATTTGTGTTTAAAACAGGATTACAGTTTCTAAATCATGCTATATAAAAATCAAGTTTTGGGGCGCCTGGGTGGCGCAGTCGGTTAAGCGTCCGACTTCAGCCAGGTCACGATCTCGCGGTCCGTGAGTTTGAGCCCCGCGTCGGGCTCTGGGCTGATCGCTCGGAGCCTGGAGCCTGTTTCCGATTCTGTATCTCCCTCTCTCTCTGCCCCTCCCCCGTTCATGCTCTGTCTCTCTCTGTCCCAAAAATAAATAAACGTTGAAAAAAAAAAAATTTAAAAAAAAAAATCAAGTTTTGGTAGAGAATCTTAACATATACCAAATATTTCGTCATTACTAAGGTAATATTGAGGCAAACAAAATACTTAAGCTTAGAGCTACGTATACCAAGCTATTTTGTACATTCCATTGGATAAGAATCCTGACTTCTGGGACTGAGAGCTCCCCCAGGATTTCCTTATACACAACTTTATTGCAAGATTTTAATTAAAAGTACAATAATCACTGAAAAGGGTACTGAAATGGTTCCAAGATACATACTATTTTAACAATAAAAGCTTCAAGAAACACATTTAACAGCAACCATAAACTTCTGATAAAAAAAAAAAAATTCAATTTCTCACTGTAACATTTAAATCCTTCACTCTAGTTCCTGTCAAATTAACTACATTTCTCAAATCTGACATCTCACTCTTCCATTGTCACACAAACTGCCATCTCTCTCTACTTGGAAAATCATCCGCTTTGCTTATCAACTGACTTAACCTAAATGGCCCTTTTAAGATTCATTTCGAGAGTTGAAGAATGCACAAGTAACAATGGGTTGATTCTGAGGACAGAAACTGGGTGGCTGGAGGACAGAGGTATCAGAGAGGCCTTCAATTTATACTCTTGTATATTTTGAACTGTACAAAAGGTATTACCTATGCAGATAATAAATTATTTTAAACAGAGGTCTACCAAATCTGGCGTTAGGCCCTAAACTATTCCCATTAGTACCTTATATTTATTCCATCACAGCCTATAATGTATATGAAAGCTTACATTTTCATATAGCCTGAGATCTTGAGAGGGCAGGATAGTCTTATTTCTGTATACCAGTACTTACTCTTCAGGGAACACAAAGAAAGTTTAAATGACTGACATTGTTACTTTAAATGTTTTCTTGGGCTTCCAACCTACTTGATGAGTATCTGTGAGTTTAATTTTTTTTTCTTTCTTTTTTTGGTCACATGATAGTCTGGTGGCAAGAAGGCTTAAGTTGGCAGACATATATATATATATGTCTAGATATACAGAGTCACATACAAGAAACTTTAAAATCTAACCAAGTCTCAAACTCCTTCTTTACCAATGAAGAAAACTGAGAGAAGTTAAAAAACTTAACCAAAGAAACTGGCTAAGTGGTAGAAA